TAAAATACAAAAAGAAAACACCTTTCAGTGTTTACTGTCTTACAAAACATGTTAGTTTGCTGAAGCATAACAACGTTTGAGCCTTCCCTGACAGATTACAAGCTTTCTCACATCACACTGAGTGGGAGACAGGTGTCAGGACCCTTGAGGAAGATACCACAGGCCACAGGTTCAGGTGTTTGCATAGCTAATCATCAGCTGTGGAAGGTCCAGGCTCCACTCGCTGGAGAAGATGATATGGGCAGGCTTCTCCTTCAGGGAGCCTAGAACGTGGTCGATGTTGAAAGCCCGTGTGAAACACAAGCATATCTTCCTTCCATCAGAGGACTCTTTTTCATTCTACAAGAGACACCTCCTCCCCAGGTCTGGGTGGGGAAGACGCGGTCCATCAAGTGTGTGTGCTAAGGGACTAGAGGAACACGCCAGTGGCCCCATTCAGGGTTGCCCATGCACTGGGAAGCTCTGGAGAGCGATCTGCCCTTCTTTTGCAGTGACTCAAAGAAGAAACAGAGTAATATGTTTTAATCTTACCAAGTGGAGCAGGTGGTGCTGGTGGGCGAGGCTGCACAGGGCACAAGGGTGGCCCAGGTGCAGGCGGCCCACTGGGTGATGATGGGCTGCTTATGAGGCATGCCATGCAGGCTGGTCGTGTGAAAGGATGGGGCCCTCCAACCCCCAGTGTCACCTGCAGAACACAAGGGAGAGCTGGGTTGGATGACAGACAAAAGGATCAAAACGGACAAAAGCTGGAACCCAACGCAGCAGCTGTCAGCACCGGGCACCCTCCCCTCCATCAGGTGCCCAGACAGCAGCACAGTGCCACACAGTCCACCCATCCCTCTGGGGCCTGCCTGCAGCCTGGGCCACACAGGAGGACATGGGGATAAAGCACGGTCGCCACACATCACCACCGCTGCCTGTACGTGGAAGAAGCCAAGGGGCCTGCCTGAGACCATGCACAGAGAGGTTCCAGCACACTGCCCAAGTAGCGCCTTCCCAACAGGCAGCCTCTCTGAGCAGAATAGCCCTCCCCACTGCCTTCCCCAACACCATGGAAGCTTGCTTGGTGTGGATTAGGAACACGGAGAAAGAAAGGACGTGGAGAGCCCATTCTCCACACATGGGAGCAGAGCCACAGCAGGGTCATCACTCTCTCTGCAGACCCCTGCCAGGCGCTCTCTGCTCCCTCCTCACAAAGGGCCCCTCTCCTCCCTGCAGGGGCTGCCCCTGGGTGTAAAGAACTCTGGAGAGCTGGGCATCCTGGAATCCTGCGGGGGCACTGCCCAAGTGCTCCAGAGGAGACGAGGTTGTTCTCAGAAGGTAGTCAGGCTCCGCTACAATCATCCTCATTCTCAGGGACATCTGCATTTTAAGTTCACTACGAAACGCACACTATGTGCAGCCTATGGGAAAGTGAAGTGGGAAGTCTCAGTCCCACAGCTGACATCAAAGGGATTTTAGCTCATGCGCAAAATCCCACAGTGTGTGATCACACAGTGGAGCAGCTCTGACAGCTTCCAGGGCAGGACCCACCCAGTGCAGGGTGAGGGATACAATGTCACCACTTTGGTGCCAATTGGAATCCCCCTGCAGGGAACAGGCATTTTCGCTGCGGGCACTTCCAGTTCCAGCCTCTATTTCCTACTACAAATGCAGCATCTCTGAGAGTCAGGCTTTTCTACCCAGAGTGCAACTGGAGGGAGCTGTGGAAGATACAGTTACCTCCCCAGAAAAGACAGTGATGGGCTGTGACATTTACTACACCCACGAAGACTCACAGGTGCACAAAGCACACGGTGTAAAGCCGGAGGGAGGGCTTTGCTCAATTTTCAGTTACCAGGACTTGAGTGGACATTCTAAACAGGAGAATCCCCAGCCTGAGCCAGGAAACCTGTCAAAGAATGACGACAGGAACCTGTCTCAGTGACCCAAGAGCAATCCCAAGTGAAGGAGGTAAAAAGGAGTCAGACGAGCCAGAAGTCAGTGCAGAGCGAGGGCTCACCCTCCTCATGCTATTTCGAGAAACACACAAAGTCTGCACTCCTCAGCTTCCATGAACTCCCTGATGGCTTCTGTAGGCACCGCCCAAGGTGACGGGGCTCAGGGGAGAAGCCCACTGGCTCCTGGGCAAGAGTTTGAATTTCAAACGTAATGAAATGCCAGATCCGTCACAGAACACACAATCTGGAGACGAGGCCAGGAGCGGCTGCTGGGAAAACAAAATGATCACATTTTCCAGAACGACTTCCAACCGACAACGACACCCCACTTACCTGGGCCTCCAGGGCTGCCTCAGGCTGGCGGGAGCTGCCGGGCTGCACCGGAGCCGCCCCAGGTCCTGCATTGGAGAAAAACCACAGAAAGGATGGAGGATCAGGCTTTCCTGTGTGGACCCTCGTCAAGCATTACAACACTCCCAAGCCTTCCTTCACCGCGTCACGCTGGTTCCCACACCAGAACACAGCAGTGGCATCTCTCCTGACTCTCGATGTAGAGACCACATCTTCTAGTTTCTGGTATTTTCTTGACTAATTATCTGTGCAATGTCATAGCTCAGACTAGCTAGACAAATCACTAAGGGTGTGTTTCATCTGTCACAGATCCCTGAACATGTTCTATGTTGAAGGCATGTGTTTATCAGTGACATTTTTGCTTTCTGTCAGAAGAGATTTTTTTCCTCTTCAAGAGACACCTGCTTCCCAGGTCAAGATGGGGAAATCAGTCGGTCCATCAAATAAATATGTGTGCTAAGAACCTAGAAGAATGTTACCATGCCTTACGTCTGATTTCCCCAGGCTTTGCAAAGCCCTGGAGTGACTTCTTCCCTTCCTTGCAAATACTCAACACGGAAACAGAGTTATATGCTTTCGTCTTACCAAAGAGTGGAGACAGAGGTGTTTGATAAGGTCCTGGAGAGCACCAGGGTGGACTCGGTGGCGGTGGCCTGTAACCCAAGAATGGTGCAGGTGGATATTCCGAGGGGTAGAACCTGCACGGAGCTGCTGAGATTGGATAGGGCACTCTTTCATTCCCATAGACCTGCAGGACAGAAGATTCAGTTTTGAAATATATGACTATTATGGAAAAGGACACACACACACGGTACCAGTCAAAACAGGAACAGTCCCTGTTACCCTCACATCAACCAGGGTTTATAAGCAGAGCATCAGTGCCAAAAAACTCTACCCTCCTGGGTCCCCCTGTGAGCTTACGGGAGTTGTAGGCCAGGCAGTGCATCACTGCCACTGTCTGCAAATGCAGGGAGGAAAGGGACCAGTCCTGGGGCATCACAGAGACAAGCACGCACCTACTCCCAGGGCCGCTCACCAGCACAAAAGCCCCTTGTGTGCATTTTATGAGCAGAGAGAGTGAGAGGGGATGGTGGTTTCAGGTCTTTAATTCATTTCAAGTCAATCTTTCTGAGAAGCAGGTGACAGGGACTTCAGTGTTTTACATGGCAATACCCTGTTTTCCCAGCACCATTTATTTCAGACACTGCCTTTTCTCTATTGAGTACTCTTGGCTCCCTTGTCAGATGTCAATTGACTGTATTTGCGTGGGTGTGTTTCTGGGCTCTTGAGAGTGTTCCACTGGTCTTGGGTCTGTTTTCATGTCAGTTTTGAAACCTATAGTTTGATGATACAGCTTGGAATCCCAAGCTGTGATGCCCTCCTGTGTTCTTTTCTCAGGAAGACTACTGTGGCTCTCCAGGGTTTGTGTGGGAATCCACATAACTATTAGGAATGTTTTTCCTACTTTTAGAAAAATATAAAAGGTCCCACCAAAGGTGACCAGCTGCGTGGGGAAGCTTGGGGGAAGATTCGGGCAAGAGTTTGCATTTGAAAAGTAAATGACACGGTAGATGTGTTACAAAATACACAATCCAGAGGCAAGGCCAGGAAAGGATGGCTGGAAAGATATCAGGTATTTCCAGAGACAGTTCCAACACAAAATGACCACTGGAACACAACTGGAAAAAAATCATTTACCTGGGCCTCCTCGGCCTGCTGCCTCATGTATTCTTCTGCCTGCCTCTCTCTGCAGATTGCATCCAATCTTAAAGACAGAGAAAGAACGGCTTCAACAAGAATTACATCAATTCCTCTCCTAGACACAAAACAGCCAATCCTTAAAAATCTCAAAACACCCTTAAAAATGGGTCAAAACTCTGTACCTTTGTTTCATGTGGGCGACCTCCCTTCTCCACTCAGCATTTTCCCTCTCCAGCTCCCGAGCCCTTATCTGTGGGAGAAAAACACATCCACGTTCAGTTGTGGCCGACTGTGCACAAAGAGAAGGAAGGAAACAAATTCTTACCCAGTTGTCTTGGGCCTCCTTCTCAGCAAGAATGACCTGAAAAAGTCGACACATCAAGGAACAACCCATGGTTAGCGGTTCTCAGGGCCACAATAACGATCTGCATCACGTGCTGAGGACTCGGCGTGTCAGGGGGAAGGCAGGGTACCTGGAGTCCCAAGGTGATCTCTGCTTCCCGCATTTGCCCATGACATTCTTCAAGTCTTCTCCTACGAGTTACAAATTGTTTCATCAGAGAAAATACAATGCTGGGCATGATTTTAAGTAACCTGCCCAAGTCCACATTATCTGAACTATACACTTAAACACATTACCTAACTGTACAAGACACACTTCACACGGCTGTAAAAGTACAGCAGGTCCGAAGCTATTGCTGCAGTCACTCCTTCCGTCATTATTATTTGACACCAGCCAGGTTCTGCACTGACATAGCTTCCTTTCCCATTCTCAACACTTCCCTCACTTACCCTGTGTCGAGTAAACCTTGAATCTTCTTTTCCTTACATCCTGATCCTATTTCTCTACAAGTGGGTCTCCCCAGTGGCACGGGCATATTTATTGGTCCAACTGACGTTACACCAAACTGCTGTCCTCAGATTGAGAACAGTTTACAGCACCTTCAGAAACATCTCTGTGAACCGTCTTTCCACAGACTCTGGCCAGCACTGGGGACCAGGAAATTCTTAGTAACTTAATACTTTTTAAACTTAAACTTTTAACTTAACGTGTAAAACTTAACATTTTTTTCTCCTGTGTGAAGTATGTATACAAATGTCTTCTGAATATTTGTTTGGGTCTGTGTGTGATATTGTGTCTACACATTTTAGAAAAGTTTTCAAAAAATCCAACAGGGGTTTCGGAGCGGTGGGTGCAGAGAAGCTGAACTCACTTGTGCTGTTTTGTCTCTTTCTCAGCCAGTTTTGCCCTCTCCTCTGCTGCCAACAGCTGCTGCTTTCCCACCAGCTCACATCCTTTCACGTCCACCTTCCTGAGAGGGGAAAGAGACTCTGTGAAATTCTGCCAGTTCCCCTCCCAGAAATTGGAAGGGAACGATTCAATGTCCCTTTCGCCCTTCCCCATAAATGCTCAGACTGACAAACACAGAGGAAAGAATGAAAGGCCCCCACAAGTAGATACAACATTACGCCCAGGCCTCTGGCAAATGTTTGGTATCTGGGCTTCCCTTCAGCGTCCCCACCCTTATTCATTTGTACATAAATTAAACACACGTGAAAAGCCCACGTGAGGTGCACTCTGCGTGCCCCCCCCAACCCCGGGCTCAGGCTCCTGTGACTGGGACAGTGTGAGCATGACCAAGTATCACAACCAAACCCGTTAGGGTGAAGCAAGTGTTCATGACTTGTTTGATTTCTCCCACAGAGAGCCCTGATTTCAGTCAAAGCCTGGGGCAAAACCTGGTTCTTCAGGGAATATAGGAAAATGTTTGGTTCTGAATGTGGGCTAATGGGTGTGAAGTCCATGACCTCCTCCTGAGAATGACAGGAAACTCTGGACAAATTATGAAATCCATCATTGAAAGTACCAAATTGCTAACAAGCCAGGAAGGAACATGAGACCAAGATGGAGAAAAAGGAAGCCCAGGACTGGGTCCACCTTCCCTGGGGGGTCAGAGGAAACTACTGAGATGCAGAGCAGCCTGGCAGCTGGTGCTCCCCCCCCCCACGGGGACCGCAGTCAGCCAGCTGGAGCTCACGGCCAATCAGTGAAGGTGATTCCCAGAGACACCTGCAGGCTTTAGCTGGGATCCGTGAGATCATGCCAGGAACAAAGGTGAGGAGACACATGGGCCTCAGGAGGGCTGGCTGCACTGATTGATCTCAGCTGCTAACTAGGTTAACAGGATGCAGCACTCTGGCACCCTGATGACCTGCCAGCTGTAATGCCCACCTTCTCTGCAGCAAGTTAACCTCACACTAGGCCTCCAATTTTCTCTATTTTCTACCCAATGTCTAGAGTTTAACAAAAATGATAGACACATGGCAGGTCATGACAACATGATGTGATTGAAACCTAAGGACAATAAAAATGGACCTAGGGGGATTCAGATAATACAGTGACTAAATCTGGTCCAAAAACCCACTAAGATCTAAGTACAAATAAATACAAACTAAATACAAACAAGAACTCTGGTAACCACTTAGAATGAACAGAAGCAGCAGACTACAAAAACCAAGGCAGAAAAGCAAATCTGTACTGATTGAATATGGTAAAGAAAATAAGGTGGCAAGTATTCTGAAACATATTATAATATCCACATAATTCTACACACTCATTCACAGATTATTCATCATGATTAACACGGGAATGTCTTACCCTTCAGTGCCCATATTTCTCTGTCCACAAGTTTCATCAAACCAGCGTACTTTCTTCTTCCGCCTTTGGAATCTGGCTTCCTCTGCTGCTTTCACAGATCCTGATGCAGCATGGTGGCCTTGCATTTTCTTTTTACGTCCTGTAAACATAAAACAATTGTCTCTGTGGGTGCACAGTGCACTCAAGAGCTTGGTTGTGGTGGGGAGTAGACAAAGGAGAGAATCCTGAAGGTAGGAACCCACTTTTTACCTTCCCAGTGCAAACTCGTTTCTACAACAGGCGTATCTCGTTTTATTGCGCTTCCCAGTAATGCATTTTTTTAAACAAATTGAATATTTGTAACAATCCTGAGTCCAGCAATTCTATCAGTGACATTTCTTTCCAACAACATTTGCTCATTTCTTTTCTGCATCACGTTTTGGTAATTCTTGAAATATTTCATTATCATTTTAATTAAAATAGGCATGACATTCCTTTAAGGCAAAGCCTAATCCAGCAGAAGTCCCAAATTCTCAGCAATTCTATAAACCCTGAGAGAGATGAAGAGACTACAAAAGGAAAGTCTGAAGCCAGCAGGAGTTGGTCCATGAAGTTTAAGGCAAGATTCCATCTCCACTGCATAGCTGTGCAAGGTAAGGCAGGAAGAGCTAATGCAGAAGCTGCTGCAAGTTCTCCAGATGAAGCTAGGATACCTAATGAAGATGGCTCCACGAAACAACAGGTTTTCAACGCAGAGAAATGCAAGAGGAGGCCACCCAGCACTTTAATAGCTGGAGAGGAGAAGTCAGTGCCTGGTATCAAAGCTTCAGTGCACAGGCTGATTTTCTTGTTAGGGGCTAATGCACCTGGTGACTGTAAGTTGAAGTCAGTGTTCATTTAACATTCTGAAAACCCCACGTCCAATGAGAATCATGTGAAATCTACTCTGTGCTCTTATAAATGGAACAAAGCCTGAATGAAAGCACATCTATTTACAACATGAACATTTTAGCCCATTGCTGAGACCCACTGCTGAGAAAACAAACAAAAATTTCTTTCAAAATATTACTGCTCATGGACAATGCACCCGGTCACCCAGGAGCTCTGACGGAGATATATGAGATGAATGCTTTTTCCAAGCTTAACACGACATCCTTTCTGCAGCCCATGCATCAGGAGTAATTATGACTTTCAAGTCTTATTATTAAAGAAATACATTTTGGAAGGCTTTAGCTGCCACAGACAGTGATACCACTGATGGGTCTGGGCAAATGAATGGAAAACTTTCTGGAAAGGATTCACCATTTTAGGTGCCACTAAGAATATTTGTGATTTATGGGAAGAAGTCAAAATATCAACACGAACTGGGGTTTGGAAGGGATTGATTCCAATCCTGATGTGTGACTTTGAGGGGCTCAAGACGTCAGTGCAGGAAGGTACTGCAGATGAGCTGAAAATAGCAGGAGAACTAGAGTTAGAAGTGGAGCCTGAAGACATGACTGAGTGGCTGCAACCTCCTGATAAATGTGCATGAATGAAGAGCTGCTTCTTATGGACGAGCAAAGAAATTGGTTTCTTGAGATGGAATCTACTGGTGAAGGTGCTGTGAAGAATGCTGAAATAACAAAGGACTTACAAGAGTTCATGAAGTTAGCTGATACACTACCGCAGGTTTCAAGAGGACCGACTCCAATTTGGAAAGAGGTTCTGCTGTGTGTAAAATGTATCAAATTGCCTGCTACAGAGGACTTGTTCCTGAAAGGAAGAGTTACCCTGTGACAAACTTCACTGTGGTCTTACGGTAAGAAATTGCAAAAGTTACACCAATCTTCAGCGACCGTCACAATGATCGGTCAGCAGCCGCCAACATCAATTCAATACCATCCACCAAAATGACTATAACTCTATAAAAAAAAAGTTAAAAAAAGACCATCACCAACAAAAAGATTACCCCTCACTGAAGGCTCTGACGATGGCTAGTAGTTTTTAGTAATAAAGTATATTTTCATTAAGCTACAAACATTGGGGCTTTTAGACACAGTGGTATTGCTCACTTAATAGACTACCGTATAGTGTAAACTTAACTGTCATATGCACTGGAAAACCAAAAAAAAATCATTTGTCTCTCTTTATTATAATATTTATTTTATTCTAAGGGTCTAGAACTGAAGCCACATCATCTCCCAGGAAGCCTACATATGGTTTTCTTCCCAACAAGCAACATACCTTCCGGGTTGCAGTCCTCAGTCATCACAACTGTCTGCATTGAGTCCTCAGATCTGGTCTTCAAAACACCTGGCTGTAAGACAGATGTGAGAACAAGAAGTTGAACAAGAAGTACTGGTCCACAGCAATGTGAATGTACTTAACATGAGAGGATTGCACACTTGGACGTCAGCCAAGACGGGTCATCTGATTTATGCGCATTACAGCACAATTAAACACTGACAAAGTGATGCTCTGCTCTCTGAGTTCAGTGTCTCTGGGGTGAGTAATGTTTCTTACTCTCTTCTTGCTGCTGAGCTGAACGTCCTCCTGCACATACATTTCTTCAGATTTCACTGTGGCTTCATGGACACGAGTTTTATTATGAGCAATTTCAACCCAAAACATTCTCATTGATGACTAAATTCCCAAGAAAATAATTTGAACAGATATCAACATTTAATCTAAGACATGAGATTGTTGTTCCTTGTGAAAGCTAATGTGTACAGTGGCAATCCTGCTGCAACTAGAGGCATTTACCTCTGAAGTTCCTGAAGTGTTCATTGAAACAGCATCTTTCAGGTTCTCTGGAGATGTTCCTTTTCCCAGTATCTTCACGCAGAACAGAAACAAAGCATGTACTAAGATTTCAATGAAAACTCAGGATGATAGGCTTAAAAAGCGTGTAACTTTTTTTTCAAAAACAAATTATTTTGTTAAGTGCAAAATAAACATAGTAGCTCTGGTACAAAGACTTTGGTGAGCATTATCTCCAGAAGATATTAAGGCAGTGATATGATTCTGAACATAAAATTTTAAAAAGAAAGGAAAACAAGTGTCATACGTCCCCTTACACATGTGTGAGAGCATCTGGGGCTTTCCATGAGTTTCAGTTTGAGGTCAAAGACAGTGTCTACTCCACTTGAGAGTTTACAGCAGACAGAGCCTCTTCCTTCAAGTTCTAGCACTGGGCCCCCTAGCAGCTCGTTCTGATCCTGTTTGTCCTGCATTTCCTTCTTCAGCTGGTCCTCTTCCACTGCCAGCCTGTCAAGCTCTTCCAGCAAGTCTTGGTTTCTTCTGTTGGACAGTTGCTTCTCTTCAACCCATTTGGAATCCTGTCCCTTCTCAGCCAGTACCCACAGCCACCCCTAAGTTTCCTGTGATGGCAGCTGATCCAGGCTGGGCCCAGGACAAATGTCAAGCCCATAAAGAAATGCAGAAAAAAGAGACCATCAGGCACAAGTACTCCCTAGCCTCCACAGACTTCCTCCTCACTGGACGATGGAAGACACGACTGCATGACAAGGGGAAAGCAAGGGTGGGAAACTGCTCATGTCAAAGAGCTCACAAATGAGTGTCCCTAGTGGAATATAAATAAAGTTTACCCAAACTCACATGGAAAGTTCTCTGTTTAACATAAACAGGGCAAGGGGCTGCACAGCTCGACTAGTAACTTCCTTCACCTCTCCGGTGTTTCCTGGCATTTTCTGTGTATCTTGGAGGACAGTGTGAGTGGAGAGAAAACTCCCT